TTTGCTACTTTTCTCCTTCTTTTTAGTTTGTTTGGGTTTAGTTTTGGTTGTTGGCTTTACTTTGGTTTTTGTTTTTTTCTCCTGATACTCTTTTACTCTTATAATTCTTGTATCTCAGTTTTCATTCCATCAACCTTGGTTTGTATGGACTGTCAGCCTAGCAAACAAATACTTGGTGTCTGATTTCATGTCTCTTCAGCCTTTGTGGTATTTAGATCTTTACTCATAAATCACTCTTTCTAAGCTTTTTAATCATTAGAGTTGCTCTTCTCTGAACATGTTCTACTAGTTCAGTGACTTTCTGGTAGTACAGTGCCCAGAACCGAACATGTTCTTCCAGCGGGGTTTATGCCAGCGCTCTTTAAAGTCACTGTCTTATTCGTTCCCTCACTCCCTTTCTTTATGACCTGACAGGTCATATGTAGGCAATCCACACTTGCATTAAGCTGGTTTTCAGGCAGGTTAAATTGTGAACTCCTGTCAAGCCTATTCTTCCTGTTAGTTGTGGTCTCTCTTATACAGACAAGCAAACCTGCAAAGTAATTAATATAAAGTGTGTGTTTGGGAATTTTTTCCAAGCTGTATTGATGATTTTTATTTTTTTTATTTTTTTTTTTTGGTAACATTTTTTTTTTTTTCCGTGCTGGGTTTCACCACTTGCTCTTGGCAATACTCACTTCTATATGCTATGTATGTATTTCTCAGTACCTCACAATTTGATGATGTTTCAGTTTTGACTTTAGTTATGTCATCCTCCTCATTAAAAATTCCCCAAAGAATACCATGTGTACCGTGGCTGGAATCAGGGTACAAAGGCATAATTAGGTGTTCTCTTCCCTGGAGATCTTCTGCTGGAGATCTGTAAAAGTATAGCAAAATGTGATACAGCGTAGGTGTTGCTGCCAAGAATTGTGGTGATTATATCCTGCTGAGCAGAAACACTGTCTTCCCTAAATGGCAAAGGTGGAGAAGAGTGGAGCAATAAGTGGGTGGTAGTGAAATACAGACACCACAAGCCAGGATTTCTTGAATTAGTCCATAGCCTTATTTTTACCTATCTGGGAATCTGTTACAGTGCTTCTTCTGTGGATGTTCTTTCTAGTACATTTCAGCAAGGCACAGCCTCTTTCTATAGAAATGATTTCTTGCCTTAGTTTTAAAGTGATATAAAATTAGGCCCTGATTTCATGGTTGCAGCCTTTTCTCTCTTTTTCTTCGTGCGAGCCACCAGCTTTGTGTTTTTCTGGCAAGAAGATGGATGATCCTCCGAGATTGTCTGAATTAAGGGAGCCGTTGTGACCTGAAACACTCAGCCTAATGTTATGAAGAAATCTGGGTGCGGAGAAAGGGATGGATAAATCCTTCTTTCCTTACCCAGGGTGGGGAGCCGTTGCAGAGCTCATCAGTGACCGTTGCTCTGCCCTGACAGATCTAATCCTTTTCCCCTCATAGGGGAGCAAAGAGCAAGAGCCATCTCTAAGATAATAATGCATTTCGGGTTGCTGCTGCCACATCCACCTCTTCTTTCTTCCCCATCGATCAGAGAGGTGGCAGGGCAAGTGCCTTGTCCCTGAGGCACAGCCCGTGGGGACACTCGTATTTGTTTCCTCCACTGTCAGTCGAGCAGAGGGAACCGTTTGTGCTCCTGCTGACATTGGTTGCACGGATTCTTTGTCTTGGATTAGCTCTGGATGCAAGGAATTCTCTTTCTCCTGTATAATGAATGCCTGCAAAATGCAGCTAGACAAGAACGATATCTACAGAGGGAGGTTCATGATAGCACAGGCAGTGCAAACAGTTGGCCAAAAGGGATCATTCACTTGGCTAGCAGAGTGCCAAAAGTTATGCTGTTAGTAATGGACTGTGAAAACTTTAGAGCTGTAGTATAGACAGTGCTAAATTATTTAAACTGCAACTTCCAGGAAAACAAAACAAAACAAAACAAAAAAACAACAACAACAAAAAAAAACCCACAAAAAAACAAACCCACAAACCAAAACACACCCCACACACACACTTTAAAACCCATTGCTTTTTTTAAGATTAGCTCTCATTTTGTCATTTTTGGACTTCATCTTTACTTTGCAATACAGCATGTTACATGGAATGCTGTGCTCCTCTGTGCTGAGACACTGAACTGCTTCATGCAGAAACTGTGACCGTGGTTGGAGAAGATAATTTTAATTAGCACAATTAAAAAACCTAACCATTATTGGCCCAAGTTATCCAAATGTTGTTACCTGCTAGTCCAGAGAAAAATTATTTTCCCACTGTTAAGAAACATGATGGAATCAGTCAGCAATGTGTGTTCCCAGCGATAAATATTTGCATATAGGCTAGTACAGCAAAGATTTTATTTTTTTTTTCCCAGAAGCTATCTGTGCCTCAGCAGTGTCTTGAAGGCTTGCCAGGTCATGAAAGTCAAGGCCAGGCCCTTGTCAAAAAACAAGCTCTTCAGGACCTTTGGATGCCACTGTGCGAAGGGTACTGTTTTAACTGAACAGATGTCCTCAGTCCAAAGCTGATACTCTTGGAAGAGGTGCCAGGCAACAAAAATAGTTGTATTTTTTAGGGCAGATGGAAAAGAATACTGTCTGTTTCAAGCTGGTATTTTATTTTGTAGTTGGGGAGAATTCAAGTTGGGGACTTGGAGTTGTGGATGCCTTTCTGTATATGAGTCCTAAAAGCGTATCTTGCTCTCACTGTTTGGTTTGATGTTCTTAGGAGACAAAATACTCGAATCTAAGTGGACCACCTGTGTGTTACCACACCATTCAAAGCACTTCAGAAGCTGTTTGGAGTAGTCAACACCATGTGCTCATAAATGAGTGAAGTGTCTTGTTATTCTGGGAAGGGCTAAGAAGTATTTTTAGCATATTCTTTTTTATTTTTTTTAAATTGGCTGAAACATGATATCAGAAACAGAAATATTTTTTTGTTATTTGTTCAGAGTGCCAGATTGAAGAATTGAAGCCCACAGCTATGATACAAAATATGTTATTTGGTTGTGTGTGTGTGTGTGTGTGTGTGTGTGTGTGTGTGTGTGCGTGCGTCTCGGTCAGTCAGCTGAAGAGGCCTTATGTATTAGATTTAGAAAAAAAAACCCAACCATGCTATCATTAGCATCTAGTTGACAAAATATTACTCTGTTCTTAACTTTGCAGAGCTTATTGCATTGCTTTCCAGCAGCCTTAATATTTAATTGACATCTTGTATAATCACTTACTGTACCGAAGTTGAAGGGTTTCTTACTAATTTTAGTGCAAACTATTACGTTTACAAAGGTGCTAGATCGAAGTAAGGGACTTGCTTTGAAGAATTTTGCTGGTTTTCACCGCTGATGACTTCCAAAACGTTTTCAGATAAGATGGGTTCACATTTAAATAGTTGTTTTCAATCTCTTCATTTTTATAGCTCAGTCTTAAAGGCAGAGTTCACCTTGCTCAATTAATAGGTTGATTTGGCTTTATAAAGACTTGTGTTTCCTGTTTATCATGTCAAACCCTTGTGGGTTGTTTCTTTTGGGTAGAGATGGAATTTCTGGCTCTGAAAAGTAAGGACCTAATCCCAGCTGCATTAAGGACTGCTTCTTTCTCTCTCTCTTTTTTTTTTTTTTTCCTGTAACATAATGGTATTGAGGTGGATATAGAAAAGCATTCTTTAGCACTATAATGGGAGAAGCAAAGGAAAAAATTTCATGACACAGAATACAGTGATAGTTCCTGATGTTGTCACTTTATACTGTATGACATGGCATGTGTGACTAAGAGAGATTTTCACTGAAATAGTTTTGTGCTAGTGCTTGTTAATTCAGCCAGTCATGTGGATAACTGTAATACAGAACAATATGTGACAATCCTAAAGTATTCTGTAAGCACCAAAGATGACTTTGAAGTTATCTGGTCTGGATTGAGCGATCCAGGCAAAATTAATTTTAGATTCATTGATCCTTAAAGATGCTGCACACATATTAGAGGAAGAGTCATGACTTGATATCTTTTCTAAGTTTTATTAGACTGCTGCCCAAACCAAAAAAGAAAACAAAAACCAACAAACAAAAAACCCGCCAAGGTGATATCATCAATTTAGTATGTTTTAATGCTAATATTGATCATTGTGCATGAAAAATGAAGCAAGACAACTGTTAAATTGATTGCAAATGTTAACAAATGGATGGTAGATCTTAATCCAAGCAGCACTTAGCTTTGCCATTCCTTCCCTCCCAGTAGAGTGCAGTGAAATCTTTAACTTAAGGAGCATAGGTTTAATGGACTGACTTACTAGAAATTGCAGATGTGACAAATTTTATTCCCACAAAACTTTCAAACATAGAATATGCTTCAGTAAGCAGTTGTATGAGGCACTTCTTTTAGGTGCAACAATTCAGAGAATTTTCAAATGTTTTCTGTGGTTTTTATTGCATGTGGGATGTAATAATGAGTGAGCATGATAAGATATAGAATAAAATAAGATAGTTTAAGAAATACTAACCATAGTCATAAATCAGTGAACAATTTCAAGAGAAAATTTTATTTTAATATTATTTCACATTTTACTATTCCTCAAAAAGCACTGTTTATCCAGTCAGTACGACCTTTTCGATAAAGATATAATACTGTCAGGGAACACAGTCTAAAGGTCTAAAGCTATCAAGCCAACTCATTTGTAGTGATACAAGAATTGCAGCAGGATTTGAACATTTGTGGTGTTGTCTCAATTATATATTTAAATTCTAAATGAGTTTTTAATTTCAAACTGCTTTTGGAGCTATGAATTCTTTAGTAGAGAAATGATAAAATAAGCTTTAAATCGGTGACACTGAGCTGAAGTTTATTTCAAGAAATTTGTATATAAATCCAGTTGTTTTATATAAAGCAAATCTGCATTAAACTGAAAAACAACTGTTAGATTTCTGAAACGACAAACTGCTTTGTAAATGCGCTAATATCTGTTATATTATTTATTATTTTGGAAGCTAATTCTACAGTTGTTTTATGCAGGTTCCAACTGGAACATCCCGTCAAAGTTATCCAGCTGCCACCTATCAGGACTTCAGCAACTGGGAATCTTTAATGAAAATTAAAGAGGGGCTGCTAAGACAGAAAGAGATTGTGATCGATCGGTGAGTAACCTGCTCCTGCTGCATTGATTAGATCAGATGATGTAAAAGCTATGATGTAGAAACTGACTTTCAGGAGAGCTGCTTACTCAGTAAAGTTGTTAGGTTCCAGTCCAGCAAATATTTATACACAAATATGTGGGAGCTTATCCTTGATAGGAGAGAAGACTGGCTGCTGGCTGAAAGCCTTTTACAGAGTTGGAAATTTACTTACGAGTTTAATGCCTCTGCTATGTAAAAGGGAAAGCCAACAACCAGTTCTGCTGTCAGCTTCTCTGTCTTAGCTTCTTACCAGTCTGGGGGTTTGTATCTGCTTGTACAGGTCTTAGAAGTGACTTGGAAGATGAAAACTGATAAACTGTATTGCACTGATTTTTGTTTCCATGACAAGTACAGAAGTGAAGTAATATTCAAAGCCAGTTGATAAAGCTTTGAGAAATTGGCCTTTATAGTAACATTCAGTGGTTAAATCCTATTCAAATGCTCGTACAAATTATTCTGATGATAAAATAGTAAATCTAGGATCTATATGTCAGTAAATAACATCCCTTCTTATTAAAATCGCTACCAATCTGAAATGGGCATTGGCAGCAGCTCACTGCTGTTATGTTTCTAATCTGTCTGAGGTAATTTCTGGAGTTCTTGATGTTTGGATAAAATGAAGCCTTAATGAGGAAAATGTGCTTTTAATAAAGGGCTTCAGCTTAATGAAGCTTACACTAAATTAGCAGATGTCATCAGGAGCTTCAGTTTGGATGTAGGACATTTAAGAAGGGCATTTTTATATTTTGACATAATTATCATTTGGCTTAGACTGTGTTTTAATAATAAACTCTTGGCTTGTGATTGAAAGAGGAGTGGTTGTTCTGATCTTGAAATAGTTGTGCCCTCTTAGTCATAGGTTGCTCCACAGCCTGAGGAGAACTGTATAAAGCAGGTGTGTGTTGATCACAGGAATGTCAGGCGGCCATTATAAATGTTTTTGTATTTCATCTAACAGTTCCTCTCTTTTAATGGGTGGAGATAGACAACTTGGGCGTAATTTACTTTGGGACCAGGAGAATTATGCTTGTGTGAGATCTGTTCCTTCCTCTATTGCAATAGAGCAAGGAATTGCAGTGGTTTAAGGTGTTTCTGCCCCCTAGTAATCTGGCCAGTACCTCTGCTGGAATTGTAGTGATGAAGGGTGGCATCAGCTTCCCCAGTTTGATGTGGCATGTTAGTATGTGTTTGCATACCTTTGCAGCTGAAGATGTTAGATGAAGTTATGAAGTACAGATGCTGAGGCACCGGCACACCGTCTCTCTGCCAGCTCTCCTCCAGAGGTGGTGATGTCCCAAGGGAGAAGCAGTTAGAATGGAAACATCCTTAATTGTTGCTTAGATCTGCTCTGTCAGAGCCTTTTGACCAGCTGCTTAAAGGCTGTCTAAATTACAGTGGGTTTTTTTCAGGCTTGCTATAATGCTGTAATGCTGTATAACCTGCAGCCTGCCTCTCAGGGCCCAAGCTGTCAGCATCATTTCTAAGTATGTTGCCCGTGACAGCTGGGGGCAGTCTTTGGTGCTTCTGCCTGAGAACAGCATCCTGTGCACTTTGCGTGAAGGCTTGTTATGCAATGGCAAGTTAAAAGGCAGTTCATGTTGTTCTTCTCACACTGGGAATGTGTTTACAGTCAATGGTGAAGTTTCTGAAGTGACAGCTTGTAACAGTTGCCTGCTAATGTTACTTGATACAGTCCGTGTTGAGGAAGAAAAGCTGTTTCTTGATACCCAGTGGCAGTGTGCTGGTTCTTTTTTTATACAAGTTATACTTTCATGTGACTTATCAATAATGACTACAGTTTTTGCTAGATTTCTGACCAGAAGTCAGTTGAGATGATTTATTTTAGTTCAGCTGAAAAGGCAACATATTCTGGAAGCTATTGAAGCGAAACAAAGACCATTTAGTGATGTTACAGTCATTTCCTTTAAGTAGACTCTTTGTGTTACAGTTAAGCATGTTGTAAATTATAATAATACAGTGTAATAATGCATCACAGAAAAGGCTCTTTTTTGAATATTGAACCTCCATTTGGACAAAATACTTGCCTTAAAAATATTTTTAAATGAAATAGAATTATTTAAAATAGTTTGTATATTTAAAATTAATTCAAAGTGATGTTGCATATTTAGAAATATTTTACAACAGAGGTTTTTTTTTCCTTTTTTAAGAAGAGGTGTTTTCTATGACAAAATAGTTTTATTTCACCCATGGAGAAAATGGTACATAGCTGCCGTTCAAAATTCTAGAAACAGAGCTCCATTATAAAGCACCAGTGTTATATTTCTTATTAGATGGGGCATTAATAAGACTCAAGTGTGAATAATACCTTTCTTCAAGGCACTAAGGAAAAATTTGATATTATCCATATTTAGCACATGAGGACACAAGGCCTTGCACTGAGTCAAGGTGATGTTTGAGAGTAAACCTAAGTCTTCCAGTTCCTGGTCTTCCTGAGTTTACTTTAAACTTCTTTTCAGAATTTTAATTTATTTGGGAATAGTGACCTAAAATAAAAATACAAAGTTTGCTAAAGTGTGGTTAATTAGGATTCATGACGGTGGTAGTTAAATTACAGCATTTATGCTTTCAGGAAGTGGAGGAGGAATTCTTCTGTTGACTGAGATTTGGTAGTAGGTTTTTGCTGAGAAGGCCCTTTGTAGCTGTAGTTCTCAGAGTTTTAAAAGGTGTAGTCTCCTTAAGTCATGTCTCATGCTGAATTTACAAACTGGTAACTGGAGGATGCTAGTAAGATTTAGTTTAATTCTGGGGGGACAGAAGCTTGTGAGGAATTAATTAACTTCCTGCTGTCTGGAAGCCAGAGGAGCGGGATAGATGGAGCAGGATAGCAGCTGACATGGTGTTCCACACCCAGCTGTTTGCTGCTGACAGGTACAAGGAACAGCTGGATGAAAAGCAGCACACCAGGAACATCCTTCTTGCCCTGTCACCAGCCTCCCTTTCAACCACAGGGTCATTACCCAGTATTTGTAAGATTAAACCCTTTTCTGTTGAGAATTGCACTGGGGCACCACTAATCCAGGAGGTGGGGAAGATTAACATCACTTGCACTGCACGCCTTGTTCTGCATAGTGGTGCTTAAATCTGTTGATAAATAGGAAATGGAGGCTGTGTACAGGGCACTATCCTTAAGCTGTTCTACCTTTATCTTGTTAAAAAAAGGGAGGAGGAGCAGAAGGAAACAGAAACCTGCTCCTTGCTTCCCTTCTTTCCTCAATGATAAAAAGGCAGCAAAAATCCAGCCCTTCTGGATTATATTATTAAATTTCCTTGTTTGGCATCGGAAATCTAACAGTTTGGAATAGCTGCAAGCAAGTTTCAAAAAGTCCTTAAAAATGATTCAAGGTATAATTCTTGCAGTGTAAATCATCATACTTGGATACTTTGGTGTGTCACTGGAAATTCAAAGCCATGAATAAAATTTTTAAAAACCAAAAAAACCCACTTGCATCTGAATGCAACAAGTAGTTTGATTTTTATTCTGTACACTGTCTTGAACCGCATATTTATCAATAGGTTAAGTAAAATTGATTTATGTAGTCTGTTTGGCATAACAAATACATATTTTTAAGTATAAATGTATACATCAGCATATATGGGTGGGTTTAGAAGCAGTTTTGGTTTATTTTTTAAAACTACTCTAGCAATCACTGCCAATTTGATGAATTAGAGCCTGAAAGTGTTTTTTAAGTCTGCTCTTAAAAAAATGAGATGAATGACATACTTTTGGGAAGAGAAAATGTGCCATGGGGAGGGGAGCCTGGTGGGTGTATGTGCACACAGAATTACAGTGGCACTTCCTAAAGGTATGTGCTGTATTTTCTCCACATAAGAGCTGTTGGTACAGGCTATGAATAAGGACTTAAGGATTTTGTCCGTAAGAGGAAGTATGCTGCTGTAACACTTATTACTAGAATGTCTGTCACCTACTGTACAAAATAATTGGATTATATCATTGCCTTACTTCTCTGGTGGTTTAGTATGTAACACTACATTATATTTAGCACCAGAGGGAGCCAACCGTGTTTGTATTGGTTTAGAAAATGACAGCATCACATACCAATTCTTTGTGTTGCTCCTCTGCTCAGTACATTCATAACACTGAAATTGCAGTGTTTGGTACAATTATGAATGTCTCTTGAGACTGGCCAGCCACTGTAGAGATCTCTACTGTGGTTCTGGCACTGTTTGTTTGGGAGGGACTGCATGTAAGGGGTATGTGAATAAATGCCAAATATCTGAACATATGACATAAGCTGCTGACAATAACACTGTGAATGCAGTGTTCTCTTTCCAGACAGCTTAAGGGCATTTGAATAGCTTGTAAAGGAAAGGTGGATGTAGAAGTATAATTTTAGTGAATAGCTGTCATTCCTCAGGGCAGTGTAACACTTACATTCTTAAAATAGTTGCTAAATCATCAGTTTTCCATCCATAGCTGAATTATGCTTAGATGTTTTCACTGGGACAAGAGAATTATAGATTTTGTTTGCCTTATGTCAAACTGTCCAGGCATCAGTATTTGACATCAAACTGTAGGTGTTCTGATAGTGTTCATGTTACTGGTAGTATAAAGCTGTAATTCTCTTAATTTGGGATGGTCTGTTAAGATCTGCAGTATTAGTATATTCACTTGAGTGATATTTTGATGTTATTTTTGAGGAAACTTTGAATCTTGATGCCACCCAAGGTCTGAACACATGCATATGTAACTGGGAGCAGGGAATAGGGCTGTGAGGAACCTCCTCAGAGTGTCTCACTGTGTAAAATAGCCTTTGCTTGCAATAATAGCTTGAAAAACATGCATTTACCTTTTTCTGATATCACTAATCACCCAAGTAACCTGTGGTTGAGACTTTTATATCTTGGGCTGGTAAACTTTCAGGAAGATTTTGTTACAGAGTAATTATTCTACCAGTTTTAAAAGTTCACCTTTTCAGAGA